ATGCGTTCGTGAAGGCCACTCCAAGCCACAGGCGGCATAGAAGAGTCTCCTCAGCTCGAGATATTCTTGGGGGAAGACGAAGCTGCAGATCGGGATCCAAGTTATGCAGGCGCGCGTTTGTGAAGTCTGTTGAGTTCCACTGTACCAGTGTGAGGTCACGTGCAAGCGAACGAAGTCTTGTAGCTGCGTCGGTTCTTGAGAACGGAATGACTGTGTATTGGGTACCATCGTGTGCAGATCTAGCGGCCTCATCTGCGCGGTCATTGCCATATATACCGCAATGACCTGGTATCCACTGATACACTATGCTGTGCTGTTTTTCGGTTGCTTGGTGATGAAGAAGCCTTATTTCAGCTACTAACTGTTCATTAGGTCCATGGCGAAAGGGTGATATAAGACATTGAAGAGATGCCTTCGAGTCCGAGAAGATCGACCAAATTCCCGAAGGTTCTTTCACTATAAACTCCAGAGCTGCACGAATGGCTGCAAGTTCTGCAGCTGTCGACGACGTCAAATGCGATGTCATGAATTTAATTGTGATGTGCCTCGCGGGAATAACCACCGCTCCTGCAGAGCTTACTGAAGACACTGAGCCATCCGTGTAAATGTGAAGGCGTCCGTTGTGCTTCTCTTGCAGGAAAAGTAATGTGGCCTGTTTCAGGGCTAGATGCGACGACGTTTTCTTATTTTGGATGCCAGGAATTGTAAGAAGGGCTTTGAGTGGGTGTAGGCACCATAATGGTATCGGCGGCTGTGCTGCATGCGTGAAGTGCAATGGAAGCACTGCGCAATGCTGAGCTACAGTTGCGCTGAACGCTGAGTGGGGCCTGGAAGTTCGAAGTGAGGCGAGGTGATGAGATGGAAGCCGAGCGAAATGTCTCATGTGCATTCTCAAAGCGTCTACGCGGATGTATGCGTTGACTGGATAATCACGCGCAATGATGACTGTCGATGCTGTAGACGCGCATCTCGGGAGACCAAGGCATATTCTCAGGGCTTGGGCTTGGATCGACTGGAGGACGCGCAAGTTTATTCTTCGGATCCCGCAAAGCACGGGTAAGCTGTATCGCATGTAACCGAGGAACAGAACAGTGTAGAGTTGGAGCATTGCTCGTACCGATGCACCCCACGTTTTTCCAGCAAGAAACCTCAGTACGTGGGTGATCATGGTGAGTTTAGTTTTCATGTGGGCAATGTGAGGGCTCCAGGAGAGGTCGCGATCAACTATGACTCCGAGGAATCGGTGGGTCTTCACGTAGTTGATCGTGTGTCCGTTGATTTTAATAACATATGGGCTCATAGCCTTATGCGTGAATGCTATAAGCGAGCATTTCTCTGATGACAGCTCTAGTCCCCGTTCTTCCAGGTACTTTGTCGCTATTGTAGCCGCTCTCTGAAGCCGGGCACGCAAATGAAGGCGTGTTACGCCTGACGCCCAAATGCAATGTCATCTGCATATATTGATATGGACAGATTCTGGAAGTGCGTCAACCAGGCCGAGTAGTGCTAGATTGAAAAGTGTGGGGCTAAGAACACCGCCTTGAGGCACACCTCGACGGTTGCAATGGTGCGTTGTTGTGCCATTCTCCGTCTGTACAAAGAAAGTTCTGCCTTTCAGATAGCTGTGGATCCATTGGTAAACCCAACCCCCTAATCCAACATTTTCCATGACATCCAGAATGGCTTCATGTGATACGTTATCGTATGCACCTTTCACTTCCAAGAACAACGCCACAGATAAACGTTTCAGTCTTTTTTGATGCTGAACAGATGAGACCAGGTCTATAACGTTATCAATTGTGGACCGCCCACGCCGAAAGCCCGTCATAGCATGAGGGTATACCTCGTGGCGCTCCAAGTACCACTCTAGGCGAGTCAAAATCATCCTCTCCATCGCTTTCCCGAAACAGCTGGTAAGCGCGATGGGGCGATAAGAGGTCAAGTGCAGAGGAGATTTACCTGGTTTAAGCACAGGGACGAGGCGGCTGGATTTCCATGAAGGAGGGATAGATCCGCTGCTCCACGAGTCGTTGTACACGGATAGAAGGGCCCATCGAGCTGCTTCTCCGAGGTTGCAAAGAGCGACGTACGTGATCCCATCCGGACCAGGCGATGAAGATCGTTTGCATGCCGTCAAGGCCACTTGTAGTTCCTCTAGAGAGAAAAAGGTGTTCATTCTTGAATCTCTGGAAACTGGAGGGTTTTCTAGGTGGCGCGTGGTACACGCGGACGCATGCCCGGCAACTTTCATGCAGAAATCTTCTGCTACTGCAATTTCGGTGCGTCCTTGGTGGAGAGAAAGACACTTGAAGGGGCGATGTTGATGTGGCGAGGTTCGTAGGCCACGGACAATCCTCCATGTCTGCGTCAAAGGCTTGTGTGGATCCAAAGATTCGCACAGATATTTCCAGCGAAAGGATTGAAGTGAAATGATTCGCCGCTGAATTTTTTTCTGTAGGCGCCTTGCCTCCCTCAAGTCGTGAATGGACTTAGTGCGCCTATATCTTCTTTCTGCGCGACGACGGATCGCTCTGAGCCGTTCCAATTCCGCTTGATGTTGACAATAATCTGAAGTATGTTGAATATGATAGGTCGCTTCTTGAGTAGCACCTCTAATCATATCCTCGAGGGTGTCAAGAGGAGGCGTTTTATTTTCTTGACACCTTTTTTCCGTCAGTGACCTGAACTTTTTCCAGTCGATGCGAGTCGAAGTGTCGTAGTTTGGCGATTTTTCCAGGCCCTTGATCTTCAAATAAGTTGGTATGTGGTCGCTTCCTTGAGTTTCATAGTCTGCGAACCACTTGACCTTTCCATTTAGGCTTCGTGACACAAATGTCAAGTCAAGGCAGCTGCTGTATGTCGTTCCCCGTAGAAACGTTGGGCTTCCGTCGTTTACACAAAGCAGCTGCTGCTCCAGAGCAAAGGAGAATACTTGCCTTCCGCGACTGTCTGTCTTCTGACTTCCCCATAGTGGGTGGTGAGCGTTGAAATCTCCGGTGATGATCCATGGTCCAGGTGTGGCTGTTAACAGTGCACGTAGTCTTTGAGGTTCAAAACGGTTTGAAGGTGATATATACGCGCCTACAAGCGTGAAATTGAGGTCTCTGTCAAGCAGACATACTGGTTGTCGTCGTGAGGTGCTACACGGCGCTCGATATAGGTAAGGTCGCATCTGATATATACAATGACTTTACTCTGTTCGTTGCAGGTAGCGGACTTGAAGGCTTCGTACCTGGATAGTCGTATTGCATTGTGTAGCCTTGGCTCACAGATAAGAATAATTGAAAACTGGTTTGTAAACACAAATTGTCGGATATAAGAAATGCGGGGCTTGAGGCCTCGGGCATACCACTGAAATATCGAAGCTCCTTTGACCTCTTTACGAATAGCTTGCAGAGGCGGAGCCATGGTGCCTTTCGAGACTTGATAGCACCGGCTTCAGCGCATCCACTAACTGAAGTGCACTCTTTGCAGCCGGACTGTCAATGCTAGTGAGGAGCATACGAATGGTATTCATAAGGGCCTTTACCATGGCTACGATTTCTTTGTCGCGACTATCACCGCATTCTCGTTCCGAAGTGATTGTAGACGAGCGATGCGGTGGCTCAAACGTGGGTCTATCGTTGGCAGCGCTGGCCATGCTTCAGGCTAGCCGGTGATGCTCTTGTCTTGCTTGGAGGATTTGTTGTCGGCGTGTCTGGACGCTTGAGGTTGTATGCCGGCGGTCGTTTGGTGAGGTTCAATCCTTGCTTCAGCACTGGGTCTCCTCAGGGGCCTCCGGCGACGAGACCGCCGGCGTCGTACTTGGGCAGCGGCCTCCCTGTGAGTTGAGCCATCCCGGACCATTTGCCTCAACACTTGCATTTCCTTTTTCATGATTGGGCAATCTTTTGACGATGCTTCGTGAGGGCCACGACAGTTGCGACATTTTCGAAGTTCTGCCTGGCAAGCGTCTGCGCTATGTGATTCTGAGCATAGCGAGCACACAGCCAGGTTTGTACAAACAGCACTGACATGTCCCAATCTATAACATTTCCGGCATTGAAGGGGCTTCGATACAAAGGGTCGCACTGTGTGTCGAAAATGGCCGACCTTGACTTGCGATGGAAGGCTCTCACCCTTGAACACGAGCTTCACGCAGCGTGATTTGCCAAGGCGACGAGCTTGCAGTATAGTAAGTTCTGCAGACCCCGGTTTGATGAGAGCAGCAAAGTCACTTTCGCTGATGGCAATGTCAACGTCGTAAATGACGCCTGCCGTAGAGTCGCGGCCATCAGGTATATATGAGGGAACATTGATGTTATCCAACATCTTGACGTTGCTCAGCACTTCCAATGTGCTTCGTTGAGTGACGTCTACGGCGAGGATATTCTTACGGTCATTGATCCGCACGTCCGCGATCTCTCCCTGGGCGAGTTCCTCAAGAAACCTAGACGTGACTTGACGATTGAGCCGGTTGAGACTAGGAGCCGCAAAGACCGGCACAGAATTGTGTATATCGTGGGCTCTCGCATCGTCGTCACATTCTTACTTGTCGTTGGAGACGGCATCACTAGTCTTCTTTTTCGCTGCCGCCTTGTCACAGGCACGAAGTCGCCTTCATCGGAGCTTTCGTCACTGGCCGTAGAGTAAATCAGCGTGTCTTCGCTGTCGGCATCACTCGGGTGGCCCGTACGCTTTCTCGTGGTAGCTGCGGACGACGTCGATGGTTGCGGTGGAAGCCCAGGCGAATACACGTCCATCGCCGCAGTCACTGGAACAGTGTCTTCCACAGAGTCACAGAAAGACTTTGAAAAATTACAGATAGTGACAGCAGTGTTCTACGCCAGAATCACTTCGTCGTCGTCTAAAAAATGGAATTTTATGTACATCAAACACGGTTCTTTGTGATCGGCAATGTGGTTGTTTAAATTCTTGTCCGGGAACAAAGTATGAACTCATGATGTTGGTAGTTGCTGCTGTTTCATAAACTCAAGGGAGCTCAATATCGCTCCATAGATTCATAACGTCTGATCCTTCGGTATTTTAAGAATCCACGCTTTAGTCTTCTCAATCTGATCAACCGTGAAGTGCGTCTTCCAGTCCCCCACCTTGCCTTTGCGTATGAAGCCTTCGCTTTCGTGGGTCTCCACAATGACAGGCTTATCACGATATACATCCAGAGTTTTCAACGCCTTTTCTGGTGGGAGATTTAGCAGATCCCGTAGCATACCACGCGTGCTACTGTCGAACACGCGTCTCATGTTCTCTAGGCTGCAGACTTCCAAAATCTTCGAAAAGAGAGCTTGATCTTTTCGCAACTGATTACCGTACTTTTGTCCCAGGAAGTCAGCAACCTTCAGGGCCCACAGGGCGTTATCCTTCCTTGCCTGTTCGTAGGTAAAAAACAGGACGTTTGGACGGTCGCGTTGCGAGTACCACGCATGGAGGTGGGCAAAGTAAGGGCCCCAGGATAGCTTGTCGGACACAAACAGTTCGTGAAATCGTGCGAACGAGAAATCCTTTGCAGTTTTCGGTGTGAATCCCTTCATGTGGTAGTAAAAAGAGACGCAGACATCATATGGGTTTCGGGCGACGTAGATGTACTTAGCATTATCGGAGTATGGCACTCTTTCGAAAGGAAGGTGTATTTTTAGGACACCAGGTCTTGGCATCTTCTCGGCTACTTCCACTCCCATCAATTCTAGGAAGGGCGAGGCTAGCGAAAATTCGACTCTAGTTTTCGGGGGATCACCCTTATTCAGAATGCTCAAGACCAGGTACTGGATCTACGTGGTACCATTTTAGGGTACGTCACAACGAAAAGGTCGCCAGGGTGAGGCTGGTACGAAAAGACTCCGCGCAGTATGCTCTCGTGAAAAAACTTGTGCATCCACAGGCCATCGACGTACCTGTAGTTCTCCAACTCCATCGCTAGCTGTCCACCTGCAACAAGTTGAAAAAATTAACAAATTTTGACGACTCAACCTGACTTTAGGGGCTCTATTACAACAATAACCTCTGTAAAAAGGCATTAAACCACGAGTTAATGAAGTAACTTTGGTTTTGATTGCATTCCATTGAGTTCAACGAAGTGCTTGGCCAAATTAGTATGCAAAAAAAACTTAAGAAAGCTGTTTTTTGTGTGAAAATGATGCAGACGTAATCTTTTACAAAACTGAATGCAACAGGCCAAGAATATTGGAAAGTGTCTTGTGCTTCAGCAATCTTAGCTCGAAATGTAAGCCTAATATTTCATTTGCGTAAGAAATCTAAGGCGCGATTTGCGGTGTTCAAAGGATCCAAGTAGTATAATCAAGTTATCCCGCTTTTAGACTGCCACACACATCTTTAGACGAGGTAACCAAGTACGCACTGGGATGGTTATCTCCGCGAAGAGCAGAAGAAGAGGGTGAGGAAACTTCCGCACACACACGTACCTTGGAAGTGCATATCAAGGCTTGCAGTATGTCATATAGCCATTACAACGGCGAAACAGAGCAGTTCGTTATAGTTTATTAGCGGCGTATTGTAGCTGCATTCGCTGTTGTCGTGCACTTCAACTATGCTGTTATTAAAAAAAGATAAGTTCGTCACGATTACCAAACCTGGATATCGCAAGTGAAGCATTCGCTGTAACGGCAAGGATGGAGCTCATTATGATTGGCTAACGTTGAGAGCACTCAAAAAATAAGAAGTTTATCGTCATTGCGGTTGCCGATGTTTCACCGCACATATATTCCAAGTGTGGAAATTCTTTGGCAATAAAGTTCCTGAACAAACCCATAAATATCGTTTTTTTAAAAAGGCATTTTGGCCCCGCCGCGGTGGTCTAGTGGCTAAGGTACTCGGCTGCTGACCCGCAGGTCGCGGGTTCGATTCCCGGCAGCGGCGGCTGCATTTCCGATGGAGGCGGAAATGTTGTAGGCCCGTGTGCTCAGATTTGGGCGCACGTTAAAGAACCCCAGGTGGTCGAAATTTCCGGAGCCCTCCACTACGGCGTCTCTCATAATCATATGGTGGTTTTGGGACGTTAAACCCCACAAATCAAACAATCAAAAAGGCATTTTGTTTTAGAAGCCAAAATTTTGATATATGGTTTTAAAATTGTCAAATTCTTGACGGCGAATCACTAAAGAATGTATTTTTTATCAGTGTTTCTGCTATTTCCCTTTGCAGCATGCAACAAATACGTTGATTCATCCGACGGAGCGTCTGCCCCAAAGTTGAACATCAAAAAATTATCACAGGTGTATGAAACGTGACCGACATGTTCTGTGGCCATTAAAGGACTGATGTTTGTTGCTTTCGCACCAGAAGTGCTCGAGGGAGTTGCCATACTGGGTAGCATACATAAAGTGTCTTAGCGGTAACATCCTCTTTAAAATTACAAGCTGATTACAGAGTAAGTTCCTCTTATGGTGCAAGAGAGGACTTTGTAATTCTGGTAGCCCCGTCAGTAGGGAGGTCTTCTGATTCTTGATGACGACCAAGGGAATGTAACATAACGGTTTGCTATAGCAGTCTCTGCTGAACCTCTTTGGGCCTGTACAGCTGGCCGCTTGCTGGTTTCGTTCGCTGGACAATGGTCTAGGCTCACCTCCCCCTCCCAAGTTGCAACGCTTCGGGGTGTTCTGTTTTCTTACCTGGATATGTTTGAAGTCGACGACCGTCCCTTGGGCCGCACAAGTGCCGTAACCTACTGTATCGACACCGGCGAAGCCGTCCACTCCACAAACGCCCTTTTCGCGTGTCACATGCTGAGCGCTCAGTTATACAGACGGAGGTCGAGAAAATGCTGAGCAAAGACGTCATTGAGCTTTTATCGAGTCCTTGGGCATCCCCTTTGGTCTTAGTTGAAAAAGGGACAACACCTGGCACTTTTGCGTCGACTATCGCCACCTGAATCAGATCACCAAGAAGGACGTGTATCCTCTACCCCGAATCGATTATGCGCTCGACTGTCGCCAGGGCGCCAATCATTTGTCTTCCCTGGATCTTAAATCAGGATACTGGCAAATTTCGGTCGACGACCACTACCGCGAAAAGACGGCATTCATCACACCCGACGGTCTTTACCAATTCAAGATCAGGCCTTTTAGATTGTGCAATGCCCCGGCTACTTTAGAACGTATGATAGACTCTCCTCTCCGCGGTTTTAAATGTTCGACCTGCCTTTCCTACCTGGCAGATGTAATCGTTTTCTCACCCTCCTTCTAAAGCCACCTGTCTGATCTCTCGGCAATTATTGACGTTTTTCGTTGCGCTGGTCTCCCTCCAATTGATTTCATAGAAATGCTCATTTGGACGCTGGCAGATTAAACTACTCAGCCAGCTCGTTGACGCCTCTGGGGTTCAACTTGACCCTGACAAAGTCCGTGCGGTGCGAGAATTCCCGGTTCCGCATTCCACACAAGAAGTTCACAGTTTTATTGGGCTCTGCTCATACTTCTGCCGCTTTGTCTTAAACTTCACGGATATTGCTAGGCCCCTTACAGATTTCGTCAAAAAGAATGTGGTCTTTTTTGGGGGAAGGACCAAGAATATTCCTTCGCATCGTTGATTACCGCCCAAACATCACCACCTGTGTTGGCTCATTTTGATCCAGCGGCATGAACAGAGCTTCGCACCGATGCAAGCGGCCATGGCATTGGTGCTATTTTCGCTCAGATGCAGAGTGGCACCAACCGTGTGATAGCCTACGCTAGTCGCCTTCTGTCACAAGCGGAAAAAATATATTCCATCACTGAGCGGGAATGCTTAGTACTCGTTTGGGCCATTGCGAAATTCCGTCCGTACCTATATGGACGTCCGTTCGCAGTCATCGCGGACCATCATGCACTTTGCTGGCTGTCGACGCTTAAGGACCCTACAGGAAAACTCGGCCGATGGGCACTTCGATTACAGGACTACACGTTCTCGGTTGTGTACAAATCTGGAAAGCTGCACAGCGATGCTGACTGCTTATCCCGGCACCCCGTTGATCCACCTAACTCCACTGATTTGGAATCCAATGCCTGCGTTTTAGCCATCACTGACTTCCTGAACGGAGCCAACGAAGAGCGCCGAGATCCATCGCTGCTCACCATCATTGACCACCTTCAAACGCGTCAAACTGACTCTTCCCTTAGCAGATTCCTGCTTGAAGAGAACGCTTTGTACCGCCGCTACTTGCACCCCGACGGCACCGAACTTTTACATGTCGTACCACATCACTTGTGAAAGGATGTTCTGCGACAATTCCACGACGCTCCAACGTCTGAACATCTAGGAGTCTCCAGAACTCACGACCATGTTCGACGACAAGTATTCTGGAAGGGTCTACACCGTTCCGCTCGTCGTTACGTCGCATCTTGCGACCTCTGCCAGCACCGAAAGAAGCCTACGACTCCCCCTGCTGGTCTTCTTCAACCTATTGAAGTTCCAGCCGAGCCATTTTATCGAGTGGAGTTGGACTTGCTAGGTCCCTTTCCTACTTCTACAACGGGACATAAATGAATTGCAGTGGCCACAGATTATGCCACTCGGTATGCAATGATTCGAGCGCTACCAACCAGCTGCGCAACTGACGTTGCCGACTTCCTGCTCTACGATATTATTCTCCAGCATGGCGCTCCGCCTCACCTGCTCACAGACCGTGGTCGCTACTTTATATGTCGTGTGGTTGATGATCTACTCTGATCTTGTGCTACCCGTCACAACTTCATCACATCTTCCCACCCTCAGACTAACGGTCTTACGGAACGTCTAAACCACACATTGACAGACATGCTTTTCATGTACGTATCTACCGACCACACTGATTGCGACTTAGCTCTGCCGTTCGTCACATTCGCCAATAACTCGTCGCGTCATGAAACAGCAGGCTACTCCCCATTTTATCTACTCTTCGGACGTCATCCCTTACTGCTCTTCGACACACTGCTTTAATGAGACCACCCATCCTCCACTTCGTGCGCTCAGGATACGATCACCCGTCCCCTCATGGCACGGGCGGTAGCCCGCGCTCAGTTATCGTCGTCACAGGCAGCACAAAAGTCTATTTTCGACCGTCGACATAGGGATGCCGCATTTTCTGCGGGATCTCTCATTCTCCTGTGGCTCCCATCTCGAGGTGTCGGCCTCTGCGAGAAACTACTATCGCGATACGCTGGGCCCTACCGAGTCCTTCGTCAGGTCACGCCTGTGACCTACGAAATGGCCGCTACCACAAACTCATCGGCTGCTGCACCCAGAACAGAAGTAGTCAACGTTTCTCGTCTCAAGCCCTACCACGCGGACTCACTCATTTAACAGGCACCGAGACGGTGCCTTACCGGCCGGGGTGATAATACGTGTATGGAACTGTCGCTCTTGCACAGCCTAAATGGCACCCAGAGGGAGGAAGATGACAACGTTGTTGTTGTGGATTGGACTCTCGAGCTTTCCCTGTTGGCCTGCATGACTGTGCGCTCTTTAGGCCGTCAGCAAGACCCGTAGTCGGTGAATAAATATTCCCGTAACACTATGTTCAATTATTGTTAAGATAACTGCCTCACACAAGATACACACTAGTGAGTGTTTTGGAACTTCAATTCAAACGCAGTTCAAATTCAATTTTATTTGTTTTTCATTCATTGAGGTTTTTTTTTCAAAAAATGTTGGGCCAGTACCAAGAGGCTACTGTAGGCTCATATTCGACATACATGTAGCAACTACA